GGTGGGGGGTCTCAATAGAATACTCACCAGCTTTCCAGGTGTGCTCTTTCAGGATCACGGTCTCCGCTGACGGGTCAGCACCAGGGCAGGGGGCCATTAATCAATGCAGCTGGTCCTGAGGCAGCCGCAGCATCACGTGTCTAGTTTTGCTGCTTTTTCTGGGCCTGGAGATGAAAGGCCTCGATATTATCTTCAGGGAGGAAAAGTCAGGGGGTCTAAACTGCTTGTCCAGCAACATGCTAGAGGGGCAAGGCTCCTGTTTTCTCAGTTTTGCCCCTTGCTAGGCATCGGGAGCTTTCTGCTCTGGTGAGTTTCTGTGCCAGGCCCATTGTCCTGGCTCTGCTCATGTCTGTCTAACTGCTTATGACAAAACCTCAACTTATTCAGATGTCACTGGTGTTTCCTGGAACGTCATTTTTCTGTTTCAGGAACCAATTCATTTAGTTGTCACATTTCTGTGATGGTTCCTGTCTTTCCTGGCCTTTTATGACCTTGCTGTCACTTTTAAAGAGTCAGTGGTTACTGGTCAGTAATTTTGTAAAATGTCACTCAGTTTGGGTTTGTTTGATGTTTTCTCTTGATGAGATTGAGGTTATGCGTTACGGAGAAGGCTGCCATAGACTGAGGTGAGCTGCCCTTCTTGGAGTATCAGACTGGAGGGAACATAAAGTCACTATGGACTACAGGTGATGTTAACCTTGATTACTTGATTAGGGTGGTGTTTGCCAGTATTCCCCACTATATAAAATCACTATTTTTCCCTTTGTAATTATCAAATATTTGGGATACTTTAAGAAAATCCAAATATTCTGTTTCAGCTTAACCATTTAACCAGTAATTTTAGCATGCCACCTGGTCTAGAGATGAAAGTTACCATGGTTTAAATGATGTTAAATGGTGACAGGGTAGATTAGAAGAAGATGAGGAGTTAAAAGATAAGGGATATACTGCCACAGCTTAGTAGTACCTAGATATGGTCCAGATAAGAAGCTCCCTGAAACAGCAGTAAGAAATCCTGGGTTTTAAGAATCATAGATACAGAGAATATTTCGACGGTTGCCAGATGGGAAGGGAGTTGGAGGGATGGGTGAAGAAGGTGAAGGGTTCAAGAAGTACAAATTGGTAGTTTACAGAATAGTCATGGGCTATAAAATACAGTATAGGGAATATAGCCAATGATATTGTAATAACTAAGTATGGTGGGTACTAGATTTATCAGGGTGATCACTTCATAAGTTATATATTGTCCAATCACTGAATTGTACATTTGAAACTAATATAATATTGTATGTGTAATGTCATATAAAAATAAGAAAATTATTTAAAAATCAAAACAAAAGAAAAAAGGAAATCTGGGTTTTAGTTACAATTCTACTAGCTTTATAGATGCAGGTCTTTTTAGTCTAATTTTCTAATTTGTAAAATAAGGGCAAATCTATACAGTGTTCAAGGTAATGGGTGAAGATGTAGTACTTTGAATTAGGAGGGATTATAGATGGTTTATGAATTCAGGCATCCTGATACCATATCAAAATATCAGTATTATTAAAGTATAAGTTCACTTCAATAAGGAGCAAGGCTAGCATTAATAGAGCATTTACTATGTACAGGCAAGGTGCTAAGTGCTTTACATAAATTAACTAATTTAACCCTCTCATACCTTTATGGGGGCAACATCATTAGCCCTGTCCTATAGATGAAACCTTGAGGCACTGGGTGGTTAAATAACTTGCCCCAGGTCACACAGCTAATGAGTGGCCGAGTTAGGACTCAAACTCAGTCTGGCTCCCAGGTTGGCACTTTTAACCACTCCACTATGCACTTGTGTGTATCCACCGGTCTGGTCACACCAGCTAACTACTTCTGTTCTGACAGCTCGGTGCCTGTGCCCAATAGGTGGTTAAATATTTTGGGTATAAACCTGGCCACTAAGGAATAAAAATGTTTCTATTTCCTAATTAAGTTTGAATTGAGCAAGTATTATATTTGACAGCACAAGGGAATCTCAGGAAATATTTTAAGGTATTTATGACTGGAGGCGCAATAGCTTAAACACTTTGAATTAAAGTGTTTGGCATGTATTTGTTCATTGTTCTTGCCAGCGTTGAGGCATTAACCCATGCTTGTCTTTGGCAACAACCTATAAATAGAATGGTTCTTGATTAAAGTGATTATTAGGTGTGTGATTAGGCATGTCACAAAGAAGCTAAATGGGATCATCAGTGTTCTGCTCTTTCTGTAAGCCAGGCACCTGCTGGCTGATTTGGCTGCTATTTGTAGAATCTGGTTCAGTTTATAATTCTGCCTGTTTCCATCCCAGCCTGCCAAGCATTTCTGGTCTAATAGAAATGACTCCCTCTCTCGCCCTGGCCGGTTTGGCTCAGCGGTTAGAGCATCAGTCTGCGGTCCAGAGAGACCCGGGTTCGGTTCCCGCTAAGGGCATGTACCTCGGTTGCAGTTTGTCCCCGGCCCTGGTTGGTCGTGCAGGTGGCAGCCACTCGATGTGTCCCTTTCACGCTGATGTTTCTCTCTCTCTCCCTCCCAGTCTATCTGAACAAAATATCAAAAAAAAAAGAAAAAAAAAAGAAAAAAGAAATGACTCTCTTTCTGAGGGTTTTGTGAATGGCTGGCATATCCACTACTTGGGGTCTCTGAGCTGCACCACAGAGTTATAGTCACATGCCCTAAAATGATTTTTTTTTTAAATACTCACCTGAGGACATTTTTCCATTTTTTGTTCAGATAGAGTGGGAGGGGAGAGAGAGAGAGAGAGAGAAACATCAATATGAAAGGGACACATCGAGTGGCTGCCACCCACACAACCCAACCAGGACAGGGGACAAACTGCAACCGAGGTACATGCCCTTAGCGGGAACTGAACCTGGGTCTCTCTGGACTGCAGTTCGATACTCTAACCGCCGAGCCAAACCGGCCAGGGCCTAAAATGATTTTTGATAATGTTCCTTCTTTCAGCTGTCCTGCTTCAATTCACTTAGACCTATTTGCATGTAGTATATTAAAGGCATGAGGTTCTCGTGCAGCAAGTAGTTGTAGGAAGAGCTCTGGCCGGAAGTGGGGGAGCTGGACTTCTGTCTTGGCTCCGCAGGTGACCTGAGGAAAACAGACCGTTTGTCCCTCTGTTTTCCTATCTGCAAAGATCAAAAGGACCTGACCCAGCTGCAGCATTCTTTGATTCAGTGATAAAGTGAGTTTCAGTATAGTTAGCTCGTCTTGTCATTTAAATAAATGCTAAATGTAGCTCCCAGATAAAGCTGTTAACAGATGACCGTGTTTTCACACTTCCAAGAAAAGAACAGAAAAACATGAAATTGTGTAAAACTTGAGTTGAAAATTCAAATAGTACCATTTGATGATAAGACCCTCCGGTAAACTGTACCTCACTGAATCTTAGAGACTACTCATTGTAAACACATCTCCGCTAATAACTGCATGAGGACAGTTAAACAGGAAAACTGTGTTTGGTGCTACCCCAATAACAAGGTGAGAAAATCATCGGACCGGCCCCACAGGTAGAGTCATTTTACGTATTTTATTATCTCAAAATCAATGTTGCATGTTTAGATTCCAGGTCCTTGTGGGAAAAGACTCAATTAAGATGATGAACTAATGTGTCATGTGTTTGATGAAATATGGTAGGAAAACCACCCAATTCACCCCCTATCATGTGGACACACAGTAACCTGAAGCCTTGTTGGCACCTGAGCTGCTTGACTCGGATAGAGTCTGCATATTTACGGCATGGGGTCTGGTCCCGGGCTGCTTGTAGAGAAGCCAGAAATGTGAATAGAGTGTAACGGACTGAGCATGATCACCCAGCGAAGCAACGTTAGCTCTCGGTGCCTCTGCTCACAGGGATGACTTCAGAGGCTGCCTTCCCTTCCCACCTGAGACACACCCACTCTTCCCCACCCAGACCTTGCACATCGGTCATAACACAGCACATCTTTACACAGCACATCTTTTTTTTGGATCCTCACCCAAGGATATTTTTTAATATTTTGTTCAGATAGAGTGGGAGGGAGAGAGAGAGAAACATCGACGTGAAAGGGACACATCGAGTAGTTGCCACCCTCACAACCCAGCCAGGGCCGGGGACAAACTGCAACCGAGGTATGTGCCCTTAGCGGGAACCGAACCCGGGTTTCTCGGGACCGCAGGCCAACGCTCTAACCGCTAAGCCAAACCGGCCAGGGCACACAGCACATCTCTTGCGTTCTGTTTTTCCTATAGATTTAAGCTACTCCAGGGCCCCTTTGCGTTGTGCAGGAGGGGTGTGCATCTGGGTTGCGGTAGGCATTCACCTGTGTGTGGAAGGGATAAGGGGAGGAAGACAGAGCAGAAAGAAGGGTGGATGGCTGCTTTGTGCAGTCACCTCATTCAGAGGCAGGACTGATTTGGGTAAGAAAAGATGGTGCTACACAGACCAAGCACCCACCAGGAGACTCAGCAGGGGGCCAATGTCAGGGAGGACTCTTGGTCAAGGGTGCTTTGCTCCGACACAAAAACTAGCTGTGGGATGTGGGGGCAGTTCCCAATACCTCGAATGCCTCAGTTCCTAATCTACAAAATGGGAATAATGGTGGTACCTGCTAGGATCACTGTAGGAATTAAATTACATAATGGATGGAAGGCACTTAGCACAGTGCCTGGCACACAGTGAGAGAAGGAAATACATGTTAGTGTTACTATTATTATCGTTGTATGTGTCATCAATGGGCAGATTTCGGGACCATAGAAAGTGTTTTATTGGTCTCTGATTAGGCAGTTATTTCTAGGGTGTTTTTTTTTTTTTTTAAACCAAGATGATAATTTAAGAGGCAACTTCCTTATTTCATTTCCTTAACTTTCAGCTCTATATAAGTGCTCCCTTACTCAAGACTTATCATTCTTCTCTCAGGGAATCTTAGGGGTCTCCCCAATTGCTAAAGCTACATTTCTCCCTTTTTCGTTTTTGGTGAATTGCTTGCTTCTTTTTGCCAATGAACAACGCAGCATTTGAAATGCATGAAGATGCAGCACCAAAAGTTTCCTATACAGGGAAGAGGTACACCATCTCCAGCTCGGTAAGTTGGGGATTTACATCTTGAGGTTAGTTCCTCTCGAAACCTTCAGGCAGAGCTCAGGAAAGACTCTCTCGGAACAGCTTTCCTCAGCTGGCCTCCTCACCCAGGCAGCATCTCCTGCTCTGAATGCTTCCTGATTTGCCTTCTTGCTCGCAAACTCACACCTCTGTAATGGCCCAACTCTGTCTGAATTTTTGCTTATAGTGTTAATAAGTTATTTATTGTCTATATAATAACACCCCTATGCAACATTAAACTATGTTCATAAATGATTATGCTATACCACATGTGCCGTTTAAGAATGTTAAAGTACTAAGAACATCTGTACGAGAAGTATTAGTGATCCAAGATATGCCTGTCCAGACGCAAAGGCCAGGAACACAGAGGGCAGTGGGACAGGAGACCATACCGTCGTTTTCAACACATATCTGTGGCGTGAAACTAGGAAACAGTCACGTGGAAATACTTGGAAATGCTGTGCTCAGACTTGGTAGACGAGTTAGTAGCTCATGCAGGTAATACAGGTAGGAGGGGAGCTTAATGAAACTGTTTAAATGGAGGAGGGAGGGAGAGAAAGGAACGGAGGTCTGTCAGGCCAGTTCTTTACAGATGGGCTCCTTATTCCTCTGCGTGGACCGTCCATGTAAATGCCTGTGTGCATTCTGGGATGAGAACGTTCTTGGAGGATACTCTTTGTAACCTATTTAATTTTCAGGTGAGGAAATTGGTAAATGGGGCTAAATGACTGAATTGGAATGCATTTTATATACACATTTAACTGGCTACTTGATTTTCTAGTAACATCATGTGTCCCAGCTCCTCATATGTTTATTTTTATTCTTGTATATTTGAATGTCAGCAAGGGGTGTGTGTGTGTGTGTGTGTGTGTGTGTGTGTATTTGTTTATACTCATATTTTCACATGTATTATTTTACTGAATATATTTATATCACACATGCATTTTTAAAATTAATCCTCACCTGGGGATATTTTTCCATTGATTTTTAGATAGAGTGGAAGGGAGGAAGGGAGAGAAAAAGAGAGAGAGAAACGTCAGTGAGAGAGACATTGATTGGTTGCCTCATGCACAACCCTGACCAGGGCCGAGGATTAAACCTGCAATCCAGGTACATGCCCTTGGCTGGGAATTGAACCTATGACTCTTTGGTCCTCAGGCCGATGTTCTAATTGCTGAGCCAAACCTGCCAGGGGCCCACAAATGCATTTTTTAAATAAAGAGAAAATAAACCAAATTGAAAAGGAGGCAGTATTTTTAATGCATCAAAAGTAGAGAATGCCCTGGCCAGTTTGGCTCAGCGGTTATAGTGTCGGCCTATGGACCAATGAGTCGCAGGTTCAATTCTGGTCAAAGGCACGTACTTTGGTTGTGGTTGGTCCCCGGCCCTGGTTGGGGTTGTGCAGGAGGCAACCAGTCGATGTATCTCTATCATATCGATGTTTCTCTCTCTCTTTCTCCCCCTCTCCCTCTCTCCTACTCCTTCTGAAGATAAGTGGAAAAATATCCTCAGGTGAGGATTAGCAAAAAAAAAAAAAAAAAGAATAGAGAATGAGGGCTTCATTTTTCATAATTTCTCCTAGGACAAGAAGAGGCAGTGGTCGTTGATGAGTGTTTTCCTGGTCTCTCTCTTGGCCTGCACCATTACCACAGCAGTAGGAGCCCTGATCCTGTCCTTGGTTTATATCAACTCTCAGCCCCATTCAGAACCCAAGCCGCAAACCACGATCGCAACACTGCAAAAGGCGGTTGACCCCAAATTCCAGTTTCTTAATCATTTACCCAAATCCAAGGTATGCATTACACATATTGTGAACAGCATCATGGCTATTTCAGAGCCAAGTTTTCATTGCGTTTTTACTAAGCTTTGTTCTCTCCACGGGGAGGAAGCCGGTGCGGGCTGGATGAAGGGGGGCGAGGGAGATGCAAGAGGGAAAGCTTGGTTGACACTGGTCCCAGGCAGAAAGGCCATTAGTAGTTGTAGTTCTCTGGCTGGCTGGAGGGGGAACTGCAACGGACAAATGGAAAGCCCTCTAGTCTCTTGTCCAGATAAGTGTTCTTATGTCTAACAGGGACTAGACGGAGAACATGACCTGTACCACTTCGGTCATTCCTGGAGCCTTGCAGACCTATGGCTCCTTTTCCCTTTTGGAACGTCACCCTTCACCTCACCACCACTGCCCTTCTGTTTACCTCCCTCTCACTCCGTAGGCCCTGGTGGCCTCGTGGTCCTCGGTGATGGCCTCCGCGCTGATGATTGCTTGCTTACGACTTTTCAGGTGTTTGAGTTCTCTGGTGGTGCGATCCAGTGGGCCCGGTACAGGAACAATGTCAGAGACTATCTCAGCGTTGAAGAAGAGGCCTTTGGCAGCAGCTTGAACAGCCAGAGATCGCAGCTGACTCTGAGGACCCTGAGAATAAAAAGCAATGGCCTCCGTGCTCCTCACTGGCACTTTAATGCAAATGAGCACGGCTATCTCGCACAGGTAGGACACCGCCCCATTCTGCACTCCAACAGTTATGCTGCTGTGTCCTCAGGCTGTTATTTCAGTTGTTGCAAAACCTGCTGAAGTGACAGACAGCATCCAGCTTTGGCTAAGTATTCAGTTAGATTAGTTAGCAGGGCCTTGAAATATTAACCTGTTTGTTTTCATTATTCTTGGCATCACTTTGAACTTCTTTCTTCAATATGAGATCATTTCTCAGACACTGTTGTGGAAATAAGATCACAGTTCCATTCTTTGAGCCAAAGCTAAAATTGGTGGCTCTGATCTAATGATCAAAGAGAGGGTAGCTTTTTTCTAAGGAAAAAAGCAGCGACTGGGATAACAAACGAATTTGCAGATGTTCCGCCTGGAGCCCCAAAGATCACACCAACTGTGGCTCAGACCTTTTCAGAATTTCTAGACGTCAAGTGAAATAGAGAGAGCTGGAGGTGAAGAGTGTACTTACTTGATTTCAAACATTTCTGTATTTCAGATACTGGGATGCAATAGTGACTAATACCCTCATAGAATTGACAGAATTTGGTCTCACCCTGGTAGTCTTGATAATAGATCAGCCAATTCTATGTGACATATTTCTGTTGTTGTTAATAAAACTCCTTTTCTATATCTGACAATTAATTCAGTTTTATAGTTTACAATAGGAAGAGAGATGAGCGTTCCACCTGAGACCAAATCCTTTTTATTTCTCATGAAGGAATAGAGATGCAGAAAGATTGTGACCTGTAAAGGGGAAGTATAGTTGTTGGCTAGACTGAAACGAAGTCTACATTTTTTGACTCCTTGTCTTTTCCACATGTGTAAAATATGTACAAGAGGATAATCATCAAAGGACTGTCTGGCTGAGTATTGGCAGAGTGGCAGGCAGAAGGAAAGACAGTGAAGTGAGCTTTCCTGGAGGGGCCCCCCTAAAGAACAAAGTCCAAGCCCGAGAAACTAGTCTGGAGAGTGTTCCAGCAATAACAGGCTTGGAATCCAGCTCAGCTTGGACAGGCTCTTCTGAAGTCCAGAGAGAGTCTGTAATCCCAGCTTCTAAATGTGGGCTAGAAGCTGGTCGAAAGGTACAGCTTCACTTATAAAATAAGTAAGTCATGGGGATGTCACGTACAGTGTGGTGACCGCAGTTAACAGTACCGTACTGTTTATTGGAAAGTTACTAAGAGAGTAGATCTTAAAAGTTCTCATCACTGGAGAAAAATGTGTAACTGCACGGTGATGGATGTTAACCAGGCTTATTGTGGTGATCATTTCACAGTATATACAAATATTGAATCTTCATGTTGTACACCTGAAACTAATATAATGGTATATGTCAGTTATATCTTAATTGAAAACATATAAAATAATTCAACTATAAAAATTTAATGTGGGTCAGAATATTCTCCAGCCCAGGAAAACTGTAGGGTCACTCACTCTCCCAACAGGGCAAGCAACAGGGTGTCAAGGAAGTCCCTCCCCTGCGCACTCACCCGTGGAGATCGCTTTTGCTTCTGAGTGTCTCCGTGAAGGCTTTGGAATGAGTGTCCCTGAGGGGAGCAGAGCAGCCGGCGACTAGTGGAACTAGTGGCTCTACTGTGCCTGTCTCACCGCCCCTCTGCTCTGTGTCTGGAGTAGTTGATGCCCCACTAGGAGCAGATGCCTATTTCGGCTGCTCGCTGCATGTGGACGTGCAGAGAGCCCGTTAGAGGTCGCCTTTCCCCTGCACCTTCAGGACCCATCCGGATCCGAGTTGTACGTGTCTTTGTAGACAGAACAGAGACTTCCTTTCCATCCAGCCTTGTGGATGCTCCACTGTGTGACCACGAGTCTCTGGTAAAGAGAAACAGTGGTGCCTTCTCTACCCGCCTCGCAGGGTGATGCTAAGGAACAGATTAGAGAGAGAGAAAGGATGCAGTTCTGTATGAGCAGAATCAAAGTATGGTGCGGTGTGGATTAAAAGTACTGGCTTCCCCCCAGTCCCTGGCAACCCACCAGTCTACTCTCTGTTCCTAGGTAATTCAATGAAATAATTTTAACTAGGTAATTTGACTAGATAATTAAAACTTAGGGATCTGTTATACAACCTTGTGCCTATAATTAATAATACTATATTGCACAAATAAACATTTGTTAAGAGGGTAGATCTCATTTTAGGTGTTCTTACCACAATTTTTAAAAAAGTATCGACTTTGGAGCTGGACCGCTTAGGTCCAAATCCCAGCTTTGCCATTGACTAGCTGAGTAACCTTGGGAAAATGATACATTCTCTCTGGACTTAGTTTACGCATTTGTAAAATGACCGTAATAACAGTACTTGCTTCACAGGCTTAATGTCAGGGAATATTTGAGTTAAAAGTCAGATAAAGTGCTAAGAAGACTACCTGGACTGGACACAGTAAAAGCACTAGTGCTATCATTGTTAATATTATTATTATTAAAATTGTGTGCAGGCTTTTTCTTACCTGGAAAATACATACACATCTGTATGCATACACCCACAAACGTGCATGTCTATGCAATCGCATCTGGGCACATATGTGTCTGCAGTCTTTATAAACTTTAAAGCATGTATTCTCAGTCAGGTTGTGCTATTGCCCTCCAGGGGGCAAACACTGGTTCCTGGGGGGGAAAATACTGACTTTTTAATGTATTAAAGCATAGATATGTGGATAGTGTAAACAGTATATATATACAGATATAGTATTTCTGTAGTGTTAACATTTTATGGAGTGGTGATGAGAAAAAAAAATGTCTTAAGATGGTAGCTTGGGAAGGAGGTCATGGAGAAAGGTTGAGAATTGCTCTAAAGTGGGGTTGCGCGTGCTACTCTGTTTATGTTTCAGGGGACAGCATGGATCGGGGTGGTTGACGATGGTCACGTCGTGACCACGTACAACGTGACAGCTGGCCAAGTGATCTTCTTTCCTAAAAACACACTGCACTGGGTAAAGAACATGGGGAACGAAGACTGCTTTTTCCTCCTCTTCTTTTCCACACACGATGAACTTCAGACCCTAGACGTGGATGATGTCTTTTTTTCTACCCCCGAGGACATCGCTTCCAGGTCGCTTAAGGTCGGCACTGAGAACGGACTCCCCCTGGGCGCGCATTCCATAGGCACAGAGAGAGCACGAGAACTCGGTTTCTAGGGCAGCAAGCCACAGCCCCACGGTTGGGTAATGGACTCAAGACATACCATGTGTTCCCACGGAGGATGCGATATTTATGTTTATAAATATTTAGATGATCGTCGGAGGGGTTGCTCATCATGCAGGGTGCAGAGGGTCAGATGCGGAGGCTGACATTGCAGATGGGTGACCATGACTGGCAGTTGGAAGGGGTTCCGTGAGAACTTTAGAAATTTATCTGCTAAGGTTTGGAGACCTATTCGGCAGCAGATCATGGTCTAATGTTATAGGGAGAAGAAGAAATGATTCAGCAGGGAGAGTATTGGTAAACAAGGAAACCAGTGTATATTTTTGTAGGAGTTTTTATTGATCATAAAACACCAACACATTTAAAATATGGTGAAAACTGGGAGGATTTTCATAAATATCCCAAGTCTTGGGCTAATCGAGGTCAGCTCTTTAGACGGGGCCACAGAAAACCACACTGGTGCTAAAGCTACCCTTCCCTCAGCTACCTACCCTCATTGCTAACATTTGTAGAATGTGCACAGGTATTTTATGTGGTTTCTTACGTTTTTCAGCCTGAAGGCGGAATCGATTTTATTAGGACATTCCACAAGCAACAAGAGGATCAGGCCGTCAACCTTCCCCCCAACCTGGTGGAGCTGGAGACGAACGCGAGTTACGCACAGTCTCCAGACAGCCTTGTGTGGAGGTACTTTTATGACCTAAAAGGTATCGGATGTTATTTCGTGAAACCTTTTTATTTGGATACTTATATATGTGATAATATAGTGTATGGGACTGAGATGTAACGTGTTTTTTGTTTCTCTGTTGTTTGTTTTCTACTGTGGGTCACAGTCAAGAGAAGTTTGGAAAAAAACAAACACATTTCTCAACGGAGTAGTGCATGTGGGGGGGCCTGGGAGCACAGAGAGTGACGACATTCACCGTGTGCTGGGCTGGGGCAGGAGGCTGTGGGGAGGCCTGGGAGCACAGAGAGTGACGACATTCACCGTGTGCGGGGCTGGGGCAGGAGGCTGTGGGGAGGCCTGGGAGCACAGAGAGTGAGGACATTCCCTGTGCGGGGCGGGGGCAGAAGGCTGTGGGGAGGCCTGGGAGCACAGAGAGAGTGAGGACATTCACCCTGTGCGGGGCAGGGGCAGGAGGCTGTGGGGAGGCCTGGGAGCACAGAGAGAGTGACGACATTCACCCTGTGCGGGGCTGGGGCAGGAGGCTGTGGGGAGGCCTGGGAGCACAGAGAGTGAGGACATTCACCCAGTGCGGGGCTGGGGCAGGAGGCTGTGGGGAGGCCTGGGAGCACGGAGAGAGTGAGGACATTCACCCTGTGCGGGGCTGGGGCAGGAGGCTGTGGGGAGGCCTGAGAGCACAGAGAGTGAGGACATTCACCGTGTGCGGGGCTGGGGCAGGAGGCTGTGGGGAGGCCTGGGAGCACAGAGAATGAGGACATTCACCCTGTGCGGGGCTGGGGCAGGAGGCTGTGGAGAGGCCTGGGAGCAGAGAGAGTGACGACATTCACCCTGTGCGGGGCTGGGGCAGGAGGCTGTGGGGAGGCCTGGGAGCACAGAGAGAGTGACGACATTCACCGTGTGCGGAGCTGGGGCAGGAGGCTGTGGGGGAGGCCTGGGAGCACAGAGAGAGTGAGGACATTCACACTGTGCGGGGCTGGGGCAGGAGGCTGTGGGGAGCCTGGGAGCAGAGAGAGTGACGACATTCACCGTGTGCGGAGCTGGGGCAGGAGGCTGTGGGGGAGGCCTGGGAGCACAGACAGAGTGAGGGCATTCACCCTGTGCGGGTCTGGGGCAGGAGGCTGTGGGGAGGCCTGGGAGCACAGAGAGTGAGGACATTCCCTGTGCGGGGCTGGGGCAGGAGGCTGTGGAGAGGCCTGGGAGCACAGAGAGAGTGAGGACATTCACCCTGTGCGGGGCAGGGGCAGGAGGCTGTGGGGAGGCCTGGGAGCACAGAGAGAGTGAGGACATTCACCCTGTGCGGGGCTGGGGCAGGAGGCTGTGGGGGAGGCCTGGGAGCACGGAGAGTGAGGACATTCACCCTGTGCGGGGCTGGGGCAGGAGGCTGTGGGGGAGGCCTGGGAGCACAGAGAGAGTGAGGACATTCACCCTGTGCGGGGCAGGGGCAGGAGGCTGTGGGGAGGCCTGGGAGCACAGAGAGTGAGGACATTCACCCAGTGCGGGGCTGGGGCAGGAGGCTTGGGGAGGCCTGGGAGCACAGAGAGAGTGACATTCACCCTGTGCGGGGCTGGGGCAGGAGGCTGTGGGGAGGCCTGGGAGCACAGAGAGTGAGGACATTCACCCTGTGCGGGGCTGGGGCAGGAGGCTGTGGGGAGGCCTGGGAGCACAGAGAGTGAGGACATTCACCCTGTGCGGGGCTGGGGCAGGAGGCTGTGGGGAGGCCTGGGAGCACAGAGAGTGAGGACATTCACCCTGTGCGGGGCTGGGGCAGGAGGCTGTGGGGAGGCCTGGGAGTACAGAGAGTGACGACATTCACCCTGTGCGGTGCTGGGGCAGGAGGCTGTGGGGAGGCCTGGGAGCACAGAGAGTGAGGACATTCACCCTGTGCGGGGCTGGGGCAGGAGGCTGTGGGGAGGCCTGGGAGCACAGAGAGTGAGGACATTCACCCTGTGCGGGGCTGGGGCAGGACGCTGTGGGGGGGCCTGGGAGCACAGAGAGTGAGGACATTCACCCTGTGCGGGGCTGGGGCAGGAGGCTGTGGGGGGGCCTGGGAGCACAGAGAGTGAGGACATTCACCCTGTGCGGGGCTGGGGCAGGAGGCTGTGGGGGGCCTGGGAGCACAGAGAGTGAGGACATTCACCCTGTGCGGGGCTGGGGCAGGAGGCTGTGGGGGGGCCTGGGAGCACAGAGAGTGACGACATTCACCCTGTGCAGGGCTGGGGCAGGAGGCTGTGGGGAGGCCTGGGAGCAGAGAGAGTGAGGACATTCACCCTGTGCGGGGCTGGGGCAGGAGGCTGTGGGGAGGCCTGGGAGCAGAGAGAGTGACGACATTCACCCTGTGCGGGGCTGGGGCAGGAGGCTGTGGGGGAGGCCTGGGAGCACAGAGAGAGTGAGGACATTCACCCTGTGCGGGGCTGGGGCAGGAGGCTGTGGGGGCGGCCTGGGAGCACAGAGAGTGAGGACATTCACCCTGTGCGGGGCTGGGGCAGGAGGCTGTGGGGGAGGCCTGGGAGCACAGAGAGAGTGAGGACATTCACCCTGTGCGGGGCTGGGGCAGGAGGCTGTGGGGAGGCCTGGGAGCACAGAGAGTGAGGACATTCACCCTGTGCGGGGCTGGGGCAGGAGGCTGTGGGGAGGCCTGGGAGCACAGAGAGTGAGGACATTCACCCTGTGCGGGGCTGGGGCAGGAGGCTGTGGGGAGGCCTGGGAGCACAGAGAGTGAGGACATTCACCCTGTGTGGGGCTGGGGCAGGAGGCTGTGGGGAGGCCTGGGAGCACAGAGAGTGAGGACATTCACCCTCTGCGGGGCTGGGGCAGGAGGCTGTGGGGAGGCCTGGGAGCACAGAGAGTGAGGACATTCACCCTGTGCGGGGCTGGGGCAGGAGGCTGTGGGGAGGCCTGGGGGCACAGAGTGACGACATCACCCTGTGCGGGGCTGGGGCAGGAGGCTGTGGGGAGGCCTGGGAGCACAGAGAGTGACGACATTCACCCTGTGCGGGGCTGGGGCAGGAGGCTGTGGGGAGGCCTGGGAGCACAGAGAGTGAGGACATTCACCCTGTGCGGGGCTGGGGCAGGAGGCTGTGGGGAGGCCTGGGGGCACAGAGAGAGTGATGACATTCACCCTGTGCGGGGCTGGGGCAGGAGGCTGTGGGGAGGCCTGGGAGCTCAGAGAGTGACGACATTCACCCTGTGCAGGGCTGGGGCAGGAGGCTGTGGGGAGGCCTGGGAGCACAGAGAGTGAGGACATTCACCCTGTGCGGGGCTGGGGCAGGAGGCTGTGGGGAGGCCTGGGAGCACAGAGAGAGTGAGGACATTCACCCTGTGCGGGGCTGGGGCAGGAGGCTGTGGGGAGGCCTGGGAGCACAGAGAGTGACGACATTCACCCTCTGCGGTGCTGGGGCAGGAGGCTGTGGGGGAGGCCTGGGAGCACAGAGAGAGTGAGGACATTCACCCTGTGCGGGGCTGGGGCAGGAGGCTGTGGGGGAGGCCTGGGAGCACAGAGAGAGTGAGGACATTCACCCTGTGCGGGGCTGGGGCAGGAGTCTGTGGGGAGGCCTGGGAGCACAGAGAGTGAGGACATTCACCCTGTGCGGGGCTCGGGCAGGAGGCTGTGGGGAGGCCTGGGAGCAGAGAGAGTGAGGACATTCACCCTGTGCGGGCTGGAGCAGGAGGCTGTGGGGGAGGCCTGGGAGCACAGAGAGAGTGAGGACATTCACCCTGTGCGGGCTGGGGCAGGAGGTTGTGGGGAGGCCTGGGAGCACAGAGAGTGAGGACATTCACACTGTGCGGGGCTGGGCAGGAGGCTGTGGGGAGGCCTGGGAGCACAGAGAGTGAGGACATTCACCCTGTGCGGGGCTGGGGCAGGAGGCTGTGGGGAGGCCTGGGAGCACAGAGAGAGTGAGGACATTCACCCTGTGCGGGGCTGGGGCAGGAGGCTGTGGGGGATGCCTGGGAGCACAGAGAGTGAGGACATTCACCCTGTGCGGGGCTGGGGCAGGAGGCTGTGGGGAGGCCTGGGAGCAGAGAGAGTGAGGACATTCACCCTGTGCGGGGCTGGGGCAGGAGGCTGTGGGGAGGCCTGGGAGCAGAGAGAGTGAGGACATTCACCCTGTGCGGGGCTGGGGCAGGAGGCTGTGGGGGCGGCCTGGGAGCACAGAGAGTGAGGACATTCACCCTGTGCGGGGCTGGGGCAGGAGGCTGTGGGGGAGGCCTGGGAGCACAGAGAGAGTGAGGACATTCACCCTGTGCGGGGCTGGGGCAGGAGGCTGTGGGGAGGCCTGGGAGCACAGAGAGTGACGACATTCACCCTGTGCGGGGCTGGGGCAGGAGGCTGTGGGGAGGCCTGGGAGCACAGAGAGTGAGGACATTCACCCTGTGCGGGGCTGGGGCAGGAGGCTGTGGGGAGGCCTGGGAGCACAGAGAGTGAGGACATTCACCCTGTGTGGGGCTGGGGCAGGAGGCTGTGGGGAGGCCTGGGAGCACAGAGAGTGAGGACATTCACCCTCTGCGGGGCTGGGGCAGGAGGCTGTGGGGAGGCCTGGGAGCACAGAGAGTGAGGACATTCACCCTGTGCGGGGCTGGGGCAGGAGGCTGTGGGGAGGCCTGGGGGCACAGAGTGACGACATCACCCTGTGCGGGGCTGGGGCAGGAGGCTGTGGGGAGGCCTGGGAGCACAGAGAGTGACGACATTCACCCTGTGCGGGGCTGGGGCAGGAGGCTGTGGGGAGGCCTGGGAGCACAGAGAGTGAGGACATTCACCCTGTGCGGGGCTGGGGCAGGAGGCTGTGGGGAGGCCTGGGGGCACAGAGAGAGTGATGACATTCACCCTGTGCGGGGCTGGGGCAGGAGGCTGTGGGGAGGCCTGGGAGCTCAGAGAGTGACGACATTCACCCTGTGCGGGGCTGGGGCAGGAGGCTGTGGGGAGGCCTGGGAGCACAGAGAGAGTGAGGACATTCACCCTGTGCGGGGCTGGGGCAGGAGGCTGTGGGGAGGCCTGGGAGCACAGAGAGAGTGAGGACATTCACCCTGTGCGGGGCTGGGGCAGGAGGCTGTGGGGAGGCCTGGGAGCACAGAGAGTGACGACATTCACCCTCTGCGGTGCTGGGGCAGGAGGCTGTGGGGGAGGCCTGGGAGCACAGAGAGAGTGAGGACATTCACCCTGTGCGGGGCTGGGGCAGGAGGCTGTGGGGGAGGCCTGGGAGCACAGAGAGAGTGAGGACATTCACCCTGTGCGGGGCTGGGGCAGGAGTCTGTGGGGAGGCCTGGGAGCACAGAGAGTGAGGACATTCACCCTGTGCGGGGCTCGGGCAGGAGGCTGTGGGGAGGCCTGGGAGCAGAGAGAGTGAGGACATTCACCCTGTGCGGGCTGGAGCAGGAGGCTGTGGGGGAGGCCTGGGAGCACAGAGAGAGTGAGGACATTCACCCTGTGCGGGCTGGGGCAGGAGGTTGTGGGGAGGCCTGGGAGCACAGAGAGTGAGGACATTCACACTGTGCGGGGCTGGGCAGGAGGCTGTGGGGAGGCGGGGGAGCACAGAGAGTGAGGACATTCACACTGTGCGGGGCTGGGGTAGGAGGCTGTGGGGGAGGCTTGAGAGAGGTGGGGGCCCGATTATGCAGGTTTTATGCTAATGAGTTTATATTTATCTTGATGGAAAAGAGGAGAAATTAGGGATTTTTTAAATAGAAGAGTGATACAATTTTTATTTTATTTTATCTTTACCCAAGGACATTTTTGCATCTGTCCTCAGATAGAGTGGGAGGGAGAAACAGAGGATAAGCGAGAGCAAAACATCTATGTGAGAGAGACACATTGACTGGTTGCCACCCACACGACCAACCAGGGCCGGGAACAAACTGCAACCGAGGTAGGTGCCCTTAGTGGAACCGAATCCGGGTCTCTCTGGTTCGCAGGCCAATGCTCTAACTGCTGAGCCAAACTGGCCGGGGCGATACAATTGTTTTTTATTTATTTGGGATATAATTAACATATATTATATAGTTTCAGGTGTACAACATAAGGATTCAATATTTGTATATATTGTGAATTGATCACAATAAGTTAGTTAATATTGTCACCATACATACAGAACTTTTTCTTGTGGTGAGAATTTCAAGTATGCAATACAGTATTAGTAACTATAGTTGCCATGTTGTATATCACATTCCTGTGATTTATTATTTTATAACTGAAAGTTTGTACCTTTGACTCCCTTCACCCATTCTCCCACCCTCAGGACCCCTGTCTCGTTTCTGGCAGCCACCAATTTGTTCTTTACATCTATGAGCTTTTTTTTAGATTTCACATTTAAATGAGATCATGTGGCATTTGTCTTTTTGTGTCTGACTTCTTTCACTTAGCATAATGCCCTCAAGGTCCATTCAGTCACAACGGGCAAGATTTTACTCTTTTTCATGGCTGAATAATGGTCCATTGTATACCTGTACAACATCTTCCTTGTCCATTCCTCTGTTGATGGACACTTAGGCTGTTTCCATATCTTGGCTGTTGTGAATAATACCGCGGTGAGCATGGGGGTGCAGATAGCTTTCTGAGTTAGTGTTAGTTTGTTTTCTGAAGTGATGACCAATCCTGCTGAATTGTGGAGAATGTGTTGGAAGGGGCCAATGAGAGGCAGGGCGATAAGTCAGGGGCTCTTGCAGTCCCGCAAATAGAGGGTGATGCTGGCCTGCACGATGACAGTTGTGAGGGAAAGAACTATTATGAAGCAAAGAAAATTTAAAGAGGAAGGGCTGACAGGACTTAGCTGGCTGACCTGAAGGGTAAGATGGTATTTAGGATGAGTCTCAAGTTTCCTAGCCAGCTCCCCCGAGTTGAACAGTCTATCTTAAAGAAGCCACTCTTTGTTAGAAATTTCAGGAGAGCTTGGAAGGTAGGATAGTATCTGACCCTATCAGGTCGATATTTTGGGGGTACATAGGACCTGGTGTTAGCAGTTCCCACCACATAAGTTTTTTTGTGACTATAGAAGAGCCATGTACGATTTTGAAATACTTTACCATATTTTGTTTTTTAAACTTCATCTGACTCAGGTTCAAAAGAGTATCGATTTCCAGGAGGAATAATACAGCTGGCACAGTATTGGAAAAATGAAAGTGGACTAAGCAACAATGAAAAAATTTTTAGTAAATTCCTGAATCAGGTAATTGAGCAAGCTGTTTTGATGATTATTAAGATGGATGCAATATGAGATTTTAGATTGGATTCAGCCTTCTTTTGGACAAAAAGAAAAAAAAGATCTAGTCAAACATTGGTTGACTTGATCAATGTAAACTATTAATTTAGGCCTCAGTGTGGATTTGGGAACTTAATTTTTCTGGCGTGGATGGTTACATTAGTGAAAAGACTGGATGCTTGTGAAATATCTCTTCTTTTGTTTTAAATGCTGTATTGCATGATGACCAATGGCACAGTAATGCTGTCAAATGCTGATTCATATCTGAGATCTGTCACTGTGTGACCCTATGTAGATTACTCAACCAACCTAGATTTTAATTTCATCACCTGTAAAGTGGGGAGAATAATACTACCAACCTTTTAAGACTGTTATAAGTAGCAAGTAACATAATAAATGTAGAGGACATAAAAATTGCACGTCCTAGTAGGATCTTTATAAATATGAGTTATAGTTAAATTAATTGTTAAGTTGCTGAGTAAGATGTTGGCTAAACAACTGGATTTCCTTTTCCCTTTTTTCTAAGCACCAAAATGCCCTCACTTTGTGTACACTCAGAATTTACAACAATGGACTGCGCCAGCCACATTTCCATTTCAATGCGAATGAAATGGGATATGTCCTCAGCGGATGTGCAAAGGTAATTGTTCTGCAAACAGTCTTTGGAACGTTCCTTGTTAATGTCGAAAGAAGCACAGGGGAGGTATGACTTTATTTTGGTTCAGCTGTTGGTCACCTGAAAGGGCTCGATGCTAATGGCTTTCTGGGCACAGTTTCCAGAGGATACCAGGCTGGCTCTGTGAGACAGCATCCGGGCCTCAGTGTGAAAGAGGCTGAGAACATTTCCCAAGTGATAGAGAGTTACCACTCCGCGGTGGAGGGTCTGGAACGCCTGCTTCTGTTTTCAGAGTTGTGCCTGCTCAGGTAATGCAAGTGTTTAATGTGCTGCCCTTTGGAGAATGTGAAGCCACTGTTTGCCTCTCACTATAATAATGTGAGTCAGGACGGCTGGCGCCGTGTGACAATGCCAGGAGAGTGGCCACCGGTCCCCATTTATGCAGCATTCTCCTGACGTATACTTGTCATCTTGGTGAACGTATTAACAGCATCCTCTTTGACTCTTCAGAGTCTTGGTTTGGATGATCAGTTATTTGGTTACCATCATAAAAGCCGAACTGAGTAGTGTGTTACCATAGAGACTGAGTTCTAGACTTTCATAGGGCTCCCTGTGGAAATCGACAATAGTGTACACAGATAAAAAGGCTTTTCTAGCCTGTACCTGTCTCAGTCTTGGCAGAAAGACTCAACCCAGACTGAACTTCACCTGTTCTGTCATCCATAGCAAAAGTTTTATTTCACGTTTTTCGAGGTGAAGGCTTTAATAAACTGAAAAAGGGCATTGTAATCTTTCACAAATTTTATTTCAAGAATAGATGTTATCTTTGATGTGCCTGTGTGTGTGCATCTGTGTGCACATTTAACCTCTAACCCTTTTCAGGAAGACTGTTAGTTAGGATGCTGCTCTCCTAAAAGGCTGCGTTTTCCCCAACAAGTAGAGGGGAGGGCGTTGCAGTAGTAAAACACTCAAATTTAAATCCTTTGCCTAATTAGGTAATTACATAAGGGTAATTATAACCCTTAATTCGAACATGGTGATTGAGGCTCTTTTGCATGATGTTCTGCAGTACTGAACTCGCTAATGGCATTTTGAAGAACGTTTTTCCTAAATGGAGTGTCTTTTGATTTTTGTGGAACTTGGTCTTGGAAACAGATACTTTTTTTTTTTTTTTAATCCTCACCCGAGGTTATTTCTCCATGGACATTTTTGTTTAGATAGAGTGGGAGGGAGGGAAAGAGAGAGACAGAGGGAGAGAAACATCGATGTGAAAGGGACACATCGAGTGGCAGCCACCCACACGACCAACCAGGGCTGGGGACAAACTGCAACCGAGGTACGTGCCCTTAGCGGGAACTGAACCCGGGTCTCTCTGGTCCGAGGGCCGATGCTCCAACCGCTGAGCCAAACGGGCCAGGGCAGAAACAGATTCTGTGTGAAGGACGGCCTCCACCCTCTGCTGTTTACCCTTACTAAGAAGTCCTTTATGCTCACGTGCTTTTGTTCATCTGTTCTTCACTGTTAATACTTACCCTCCATGGATAATAGATTGTTTCTGCTTCACTTCAAGGTATTTTTTTTCTTCCTTAGGTGGGCATTATTAATACTCAGGGTGCCACAGAGTTTGATATTCACGTTGGAGACGTGATATTTTTCCCCATTGGAACCCAGCATTATGTTAAGAGTACATGTGATGAGGATTTGCTTTTCATTCTTGCCTTCAGCACTGGAGACCAGGTGAGAATAAGCTCATTTAAGAGAGATTACTGAGTGCCGGTGATATGCCGCATGCTCTGCTAAGCCATGCATCTGGACCACGGGGCCTCAGTCAATGTGCGTTGAATGAATGAATAAATAAATGAACTGGCAGAACCCGTGTGTGAAGAGGAGAATCAAATAATCTTTCATTTGCTTATAAAGATCTCTAGTGTATTATATTCCCTCTTAATTCCCCAAGTTCTGAACCAACTGAGAAAAAAAGACCTAAGAGTCATATATAGAGATCCATGATATAATTTTCATTGCTAATAAAGCAGATATTAGAGAATGTGATTGGTATCTGTGGGCAGGTGGGTTTCTAACATCCGTCTCCAGAACTGGCCTCTCCATGCTGAGGCAGACCCCGTACGCCTTATGGCATAAAGAGACAGAGCATGCTCTTTGAAGCTTTGCCAGCTCCCAAACAGAAAGGGATAAGCTAAACGGAGCATCCCCGTTTATTCTTCCACAAGTTACTTGGCAGAGAGGAGGGGGGCTGGGGAGAAGAGATTTTTGTATATGAAAAGAAACTTTGGGAGTACACATGTAACATTGTGATTGAACAATGCTACTGTGTAGAAATTGTATTTCTTGCTATCATTCTTTATTTTAAACAAATCTGATATATAATGATTTGTATTATAAAAATAACATGTCATACATTAAGGAATAACATGTAATTTATAAGGGAAGAGGAATTATTTATTCTGTTAAATAGCTATTTGTTTTTGAAAATTCAAACAGGGTTTTTTAATGAGATGGAATTGTGTGCTTGAGGAATGGGAATAAACAGTGGAATTTAGATTTTTAAAAACCCTCAGGACTAGGTTCCCTTCTGAGACTTACACCGGTGAGAATATAGCAGTCTACCGGGCACAGAGCTCCGGGGCAAGTCCTGGATGGGCAGACAGTTCTCCTGGCCGTGGTTCTTCCTACCAGGAGCCCCAGCAAGCTCTCCAGGGGAGAGTGCAGCATGAACTTGGCAGGACCGTCAGCAGACCTCATCCCAAGATGACTGACTGTTCCAGCCTCTGCTTCCCTGGGTCCCCAGACCTTCCTGGGGGTACCTGGGATGAGGTTTGTGGAGAGAACGTGAGAACAAGATGGAAAGCCAGCTGTAGACTTAGTTGGGGGTGGAGAAGGGCCCGCACTGTGGTGTGGGTCTCCCTCTGCCCCTGTGGTCCCCGTTCTCCACAGCTATTACAAACAAACCACAGTGCAAATCAATCAGGTAAAGTATGAAGAGGAAAAATAACCCTTAATTTATAAACGGCAAATTAGAGTTTAAAAAGTTAAGAATAAGTAAATAAAATTTTTAAAATGAGCACAATATAAATTCTATGTGTGAAAGTATTCCAAAGGTAAAAAGTTAGACTTAAGTAAATAAGGCAGATAAAGTAAATCAGAGTTAATGTGACATGAAACACTAATGTCAACAAATTAAAACTTAAAATACGAAAAGATAAAAATGACAATTGAAAACTATTAGATACAAGCCAACAATGAAGGAATATAATTTTTTAAAAAAGAGAATAGAAATAAAAGTTTTTTGTTTTTTTTTAAATTAAAAGAAACAGTTTAAGAGAGTGATCCACAACAGGAAGAAAGAAATGAATCAGTATTTTGGGTAGGAAGAATTTTTTTACCTTTACCCCACCTGGCTATTCCGATGTCCCCTTGAGGGGGACAGTCCCCTACTGCCCCATGAGAATGAGGTAATGAGAAATGTTTTCAATGGGCATATGTTTTGCATAAAGCGGATGAAAGGAAGGAGGAAGGAGAGAGAGGCTGAGAGAGGGAGTGGAAATGCATGCCCAGAGAGAGACATGCGTGCCCAGACACACACACACACACACACACACACACACACACACACACACAGAGATGACCAGAGAGAAGAAGCGCTTAGACACATGCACAGAAATGAGGACATTCAGACAAACAAACACACAGAGAGAGGGAGAGAGATCTACAGAGAGACACAGATGAGAAAGAAAGAGAAACAACACAGAGACATGCAAAGAGAATGGGACACACAGATACACACGTGAGGAGGACTGACACCCATAGAAAGAGCACAGAAGGAGAGACACACGGATGCATGCATGTCCACACACAGACAGACCTTTACACAGACAGACATAGAGATGTGCACATAGACTAAGGAGAGACTCAGAGACAAGGATACACACACACATACAGAGATAGACTGAACACGGGAGAGATGCAGAGACACACGTGCATGTAGACATTGAGGGAAGTCGACTGCGAGAGCTCGTATCCAAGAGAGAGAGAGACAGAGAGAGAGAGACAGAGACAGAGAGACAGAGAAGAAGACAGTGAGGAGAGTGCACAGGGACAGTCACACCCACCTGACTGCACAGAAGGCCAGGCAGGCAGAGATCACTGACCGGGCAGAGGCCTGGCTGTGGAGCAGGACCGCTCACCTGGCAGAGCTTGGCCCCCACCCTGTGGGCCGGGGGTGCTCCGACAGGACCACAGAGGGCCCTGTTTCCTCATGAAGAGGCCCTCTCTCAGCAGGGTGGCGGTCCCTTGGGGAGCCCGGGTGCCCCAGCACATCTAGCCAGTCAGGCTTTCTCAGAGTAGGAAAGGTGAGCTCCCTGGGCAAGGGAAGAGCGGCTCAGCAGGGGGCGCTGTGCTCACACCGCCAAGTACCCACTTCTGTAGGGTCTCAGTGGCCCCAAGGTTCCTGTAGGGACTGAGTAGTTCGGTGCTGATACATCTTTCTATTTCCATTGTCAGCTACAAACCCTCGACATGGACGATTACCTCCAGGCCACAGCAGACCACATCCTGGCCCAGCTTTTCTTCAAGAAACAAAGTGAGTTTAAGAAGATCCCCACATTCAAGGAGGACCAGGCAATCAACCTGCCTTAGATTTGCTGAGTTCCTACCTGTTCTTTCATCTGCTGTTACTGTTTTTAAAGAAGGGCTTGGCTGATGCATCGAGGTGGTCCTCAGTGGGGGGAAGCCAGCCGCAGCTGCCCTGGGCTCCTTCAGCTGATGGTGATGGCAGCAGTTCATGTATTTCTGTGTAGATCAGGTCTGCAGAGGACACCGCTACATTCAACTATTATATTTCTGTATGGGTTCTAGTATGTGTGTATATATTTGTTTATTTTCTCTCTCTCTCTCTCTCTCTTTTATTTTTTTATCTTCACCCGAGGACATTTTTGCATTTATCTTCAGATAGAGCAGGAATGAGAGGGAGGAAAAGAGAGAGAGAAACATCGAGTAACCGGTTGCCACCCACACGACCCCAACCAGGGTGGGGACAAACTAGAACTGAGGTACGTGCCCTTAGGGGGAACCGAACCCGCGTCTTTCTGGTCCGTAGGTCGATGCTCTAACCGCTGAACCAAATCGGCCAGGGCTTGCTCTCTCTTTTTTTTTAATCCTCACTGAGGATATTTTCCATTGATTTTCAGATAGAGGGGGAGGGAGAGAGAGACATCGATGTGCGACAGGCACACCGATTGGTTGCCTCCCGCACAGCCCTGACCAGGGCCGGGGATCGAACCACAACCAAGGTACGTGCCCTTGACTGGAATCAAACCCATGTCTCTCTGGTCTGCAGGCTGATGCTCTAACTGCTGAGCCAACCCAGCCAGAACTATTTTCTCTTTTACTTCAAATTTATTACTTCAAATGCAAATCCATTCTTTTCATTCATATCAGTAAATCTTAGTATCATGCATGTACTTTTGTTATTCATGGCTCATGGACAAGGACAACGGTGTGATGCTGGTAGGGGAGGGTGAATGGAGGTGGAAGAGGGCGCAGAGTGGATACAGGGTGATGAAAAAAATAAAAAGTTACCCGGCCCCCCCAGGGACTCTGTAAGGAACTGGTCACCACCCAGGAGGAGGACTGTGGTGGGGAAGGTGCTGGAAACAGGCCAGGGCGATGGGTGTGTGGAAGGAGGATGTGCGAGGGAGGGAATCGTCCGGCAGGCGAATGTGTAGACAGGTTTTTATCCACAAATTTTGTTTTATTCTGGGAATTTCTTCATATATTATAAATCTATTCTTGTATCAGGAAGTATTGTATTAGATCACTATGTGGTCATTTAATAAAGATTTTATATATCTTTGTATCTATTTTTTGCCATTATAATTTTAAATCAAATCTGTTCTTATGGTTTTATGTATTTGGAGCATGATTGGATTTCCTGTGTGCGGCCTTGAAGTATGACTTAGGAATTCAATTTGCTATGTATTTTTTAAAATGTTAAAAATAAAAATCTAATAAAGACAATTAATTGGAATATTGTTGGTATTTTATGGGAAGTTCTTAACTTTCGCTTGGTTGTTCAAATTTCGGTCATTTATTTATTTTTGGAATGGTGATTTCTGGTTTTCATACCATTTTTTCTTCTAGGGTAACCCACTAATAAGCTTTTAGGCTTTTTGGTATATCTACTTTATTACCAAATCAATAGACTGAAGAGTGAATTGCCAATCAGACTGATTATTTATGCTCCTCATTCAGGCAAAGCCCGGACATTTAAAATCTCCTTTAAAACGGAACCCACGGAACCCCCCTTGATAATTTTTTTTTGTGGGGTACATGCCCCTAGCGGGAACCGAACCTGGGACTCTCTGGTCTGCAGGCCAATGCTCAACCCCTGAGCCAAACTGGCCAGGGCCCCTTGACCATTTTATACACACACTATAAAGCAGCCACATCTGATGTATTTGAAATGATATGAATTGTACACAGAACGTTTTACAAAGTCTTTAAAAAGAGCTGTCTTGTCAGCAGCTGCTTTGAGTAACTGAATGGAATGCATCGATTTGAATAGAGGAACTACAGGTAGGGAAACAACCCTGAACGTTCCTTATTGCTTCTAAGTAGTGGAAAGCAGTTGTGAAGTTTCATTGTTCACCGATCAGCCTTTCCTGTTGAAGGGCAATCAAGCTGTTTTTTATCAGCCAACTGATTAGGAAAAGAAATACAGTTACCGTTACTATATAACTTGATTCCCAATGACCCTAATTTCTCAATGCTTAATATGATTCAGCAGTATAATATTATTGCTTAAAAAACTTAAAAAAAGAGCTCTGGCCCTGGCCGGTTTGGCTCTGCGGTTAGAGTGTTGGCCTGTGGTCCGGAGAGACCCGGGTTTGGTTCCCACTAAGGGCATGTACCTCGGTTGCAGTTTGTCCCCAGCCCTGGTCAGTCGTGCGGGTGGCAGCCACTCGATGTGTCCCTTTCACATTGATGTTTCTCTCTCTCTTCCTCTCTCTCCCTCCCGCTCTACCTGAACAAAAAATGGAAAAATGTCCTCGGGTGAGGATAAAAAAAAAAAGAGCTCTGGCCCAGTTTGGGTCAACGGTTAGAGCGTCAGTTCATGGACCAATGAGTCGTGGGTTCGATTCCGGTCAAGGGCACGTACCTCGGTTGCGGTCCATCCCGCGGCCCTGGTGGGGTTGTGCAGGAGGCAACCAGTCGATGTGGCTCTGTCACATCAATGTTTCTCTCTGTCTCTCTCCCTCCCTCCCTCCCACTCTATCTGATAATGAGTAGAAAAATATCCCCGGGTGAGGAATTAAAAAAGAACGGGGAAGAAAAAACCTACAGCAATTTTGTGCTATAATGAGAAGTGATAAGTGGTGTCTCCTCCATACTCTGCACTCACTTTAGACACTAGTATGTCCACTTTGGATCACTGTTCCGCAAAAAAGAACAGGAAGACACTGGCGAGACCAGAAGAGGTGGTCTAACGAGACGGGAGGCTGTTTTCTTCATTGTACTCACATTGGAAATGTTTGGAGAAAAGAAGTTAAGGGATGCCGTAGCACCATAAAATTGTAGACCTGGTAGAGGGTATATATTATTTGGTTTTATTGCTTTCATTTACAGAAATGAAAAAACTGAGACCCCAGAAGGGCAAGTTACCCAAATTGCAAGTAAGATAGTTGAGACCAAAGTCCAGCTATTTTGAGGCGCCCTCTCCCTTGTAGTGCTGTGTGGGTCACTGTCTTCGGGTGTGTGATAGGTTCCTGCACACGGAGCAGAACCCTGTCCTGGATGCGCCGTCTTCGGTGCGAGCCGTGGCTTCTGTCGCCCCCACGTCAGCAGTCCCCACCTCCCAGCCACTTCGGCAGAGGTGCTCAGAGCCTCCTGAGATCACAGGTCAAGTGCTCACTGCCTGTGTTTTATTTAAAATTTTATATTTTTCCAGCACCATTTATCCCTCTTTGCCCTCTTTCACCTCCATCCACCCCTCGCCCACCCCCTGCAATCACCACACTGTTGTCCATGTCCATGAGTTCTCTCTCTCTCTCTTTTTAATTTTTGGTTCTATCCCTCTCCAACAACCCCCCCTGCCCCCGAACTGTCTGCCTGCTCTCTGCCTACCAGTCTGTCTCTATTTTGCTTGGTAGTTCAGTTTGTTCATTAAATTCCACATATGAGTGAAATCATGGTACTTGTCTTCCTCTGACTGGCTTATTTCACTTTTTTTATTGTGATAAATTATACATAATACAATTTACCATCTTTACCATTTTTATTTTTTGTTAATCCTCACTCGATTCATTTTTTCCATTCATTTTTTAGAGAGAGTGGAAGGGAGGGAGAAAGGGGTGGGGAGAGAGAGAGAGAGAAACACTAATGTGAGAGAGATACATCGATTGGTTGCCTCCTGCATGTGCCCTGAACCAGGACTGGGATCAAACCTGCCACCCAGGTATGTGTCCTTGACTGGGAATCAAACCTGTGACCCTTTGGTGTATGGGCCAATGCTCTAACCACTGACCACACCAGCCATTAAAAAAAAAATCCTCACCCAAGGATATGTTTTTCATTGATTCTAAAGAGAGAAGAAGGGAGAGAGAGAGAGAGAAAGTGAGAGAAACATCAGTTGTCTCCCATATATGCCCCAAATGGGGAGGAACCTGCAACCCAGGCATGTGCCCTGACCAGGAATCAAACCCGCTCCCCTTCGGTGCAAGGAACGATGCTCTAATCATCTGAGCCACACTAGCCAGGGCCCATTTTAACCATTTTTAAGTGTACAATTCAGCAGCATTAAGTACATTCATGTTGTATAGTCATCGTCATCATCCATCTCCAGAACTTTTTCATCACCCCAAACTGAATCTCTGCACCCACTGCACACGAACTGCCCATTTCTCTCTGCCCCCAGCTCCTGGTGACCTCTCTTCCACTTTCTGTCTCTATAAATTGGTCTATTCAAGGTACCTCTTCTAAGTGGAATCATACAATATTTCTCATTGTTTTTATGAGATCCTTGCTCATTTTTAAAAACCATGCTTCTACTATGTGCTTAGCATAGTGCTAAGATACACAAGAAACATAACATGTGGCCTTGTATAATTTCAATGTAAATGTTTCTTATTCCATTCTGTATTCCTCTTCCCTCTCCACCCCTTCCCAGGATAAATTCAGCCCTATTGTGAGTATTCAAAAGAATGTTTATTCATTCAGATTATCTTAGGGAGTCCATAGTAACAAATAATGAACAAAAATTCAAGAGGTTAGTGTACACTATGCTCTCATATTTCCAGAGAAGGCAACACACAACCCTTGAAATGATTCCCATCCCATGTCTTAACAGTCCTCAGTCCTCAAATCTTCCAGCAGTCTAGTAAACTTTCTTTTAACCATTTTTTTGTCTGGGGTGGGACTTTATTCTAGTCCCTGAGGTTTAAACATCCAGATAAGTGTTTGAATTCTTCCTCTTCTTTTTTTAAATGTTAACAAGAAACCCCAAATGGCCTCAACAGGTGTCTTTCACATCTCTTATCTTGGTCCAGTGATGCCCAACTTGATTTTGCTGGCAACAGATCTATCAGTTTATTATTCTGCTCAGCATCTTCCTTGGTTCAGAGTGCAGACAGCTCATGCCA